TTTATGTTTTATTATTAATTTTTTGATCCTATAATACTGGAAAGATCATTTTAGTTTAATTAAACATTTTTATTTTTTTATTTTTTTTTAAATATAAATTTTATAGGTTGATTAATAAAACTTTCGATTCTAAACTAAAATTAAACAAAACCAATATTATTCATATAATTTTTTATGTATGATTTTCTTTACATGTTTTTTTTTTTTTTGAAATATTTTATGAATGAGCAAATATTGGGTGTATTTACTTGTGAGACTTGATTTTCGGTTTTATTATTTCAATTTATTTTCATAAACATCAAATCAAACACCTATTTTTTTTATTTATTATATTACACTAAAATTAAATTTTACATTCAAAACATCACATCAATACATATTTATATCACATAACACAACTATTTCAACTCAACATTTTACTATTTAAAATAACATTATTATTATGGTACATATATATAGTAATTTGATCTAATTACTAAATGACTATAAAAAAGAAAATAACAAATATTAATGTAATACATTATAACACATTATATAATACTCTCTATATCCAATATCTATATATTTATTTTCTTTTTGTACGGAGTTTAAAAAATATTAGTATTATATTGAGATATAAGTAGAAATAAAGGTAAAAATACTAAATTACTCTTATTAGTATTGTATGATATAAATGTAATGACATTTGTGTAATATATTGTAAATTAGAAGGATATTTATAATGTTAGGTAGATGATACAATTACTAAAAAGGAAAATAGATACTTTGTTATTGGACGAACCAAAATAGAAAAATTGATATATTGTTAAAGGACAGAGGGAGTAGTATATTTGCACGGTTTTTTAAGTGATTATATTTTTTTTTATTATTTGACGAATTTGTCCTTAATTGTATGGTAGAGATTAAAAGTAATAAATGAATGAAAGAGTAAAGATATAAAATTTTTTTTTTAAAAAAAATAAGATAATAATTGTTAAACGTCCCAAATAAAAAAGTAGAACATTAATTTATAAACGGAGGAATGATAAGTTATTTGTGGATGATCTATTAATATGACCCTGTGAACAAAATTTGTAGACTTTCATAGAATGAGTGTGTTTGATTTTGATAAATCCCTATTTATTTATATATTTTTGAATAAAAATAAATTATTTCATTTTATATAACATTAAAATATTAAGTATAGAATAAATAATTAAATGCAACAATAGGGTTGTAGGATCATGCAAAGATTTGATCCATCAGACAACTAATTAATAATAATAATAATAATAAAAATAATAATAATAATAATATACGCAGCAACAGGACAAGACCCTCCCTTTGTAATAATTATTTTATTTTATAATTACAACCCTAATCAGTGATAATCAATAAATGCCAAGGCTTATCCCCCAAAAATCCCCACTGGGCCCCACTTGAAAAGTATTACCTCTTTCCTCTCACATACCTTATCTGCTACACTGTAGACACGGTATTTTAGGAGGGGTGTAATTAGTAGATAATTAAGAATATATTAGTGAAAATAATTATTATATAATATAAATAATTATAAATTAAGATTAAGATAACTAATTAGTTTAATTAAAATTAAAAAAAAAATAAATTAAAAAGTTTAAAATGAAATTAAAGTGTATAATCATTTTCCAAAAAAGGAAAGTGACATGGTATGTGGGACGGAGGGAGTAATAAAATACTTCATTCGTCCCATAAATATAGTTTTAATTGCATTGGACACGAGATTTAATAAATATTGATATTATATTGGTAGTGGGTAAAAAATATGGATAAAAGACCTTTTTTTTTTCTTATGAGTGTATTAGAGTAAAAAGTAGTGACAATTGTGTAATAAAAATGAAAAATTAGGCGTAGTTTTATAGTGATATGGTTAGTTATGGAAATAGGACTATTGTTTTGGGACAGACAAAAATTGTAAACAAGACTATTGTATTAGGACGAAAGGGAGTACTTAAAATTAAATTATACTCTCATCTATCTCACTATTAGTGTTGATATTTAAATATTAATTATTATATGAAAACATTGTACAAATTAAGATAGAATGATAAAAATATTTCTTTCAGTGTCTTATAATACTATCATAATGACATTTGTGCAAAAATTTATACAAATATGAAAATATTTTTAAAGTTAAATACAATGACGCAAAAGACAAATGAAATCTTAGAGCAGTATAGAGGGAGTACAATTTTGACTATTTTCTTCTTATTTTTTAGTATTTGAATTTTTTGGTAAATTATATTTAAAATATATTACTACCTCCGTCCGGCTCTAAATGTCTCATTTATTTTTTTGTATTTGATCTTTGAATTATTAATTATTATATGAAAATATAGTATAAATTACGGAAAAATGACAAAAATACTTCTATTAGTATCTTATAATACTATTAAAATGATATTTGTGCAAAAAATTATACATATATAAATATATTTTTAATGTTAAAAACAATGACGCAAAAGGTAAATAAAATCTTAGAAAATTATATATAATAAAAGTATATTTTAATATATTTAAAATTAAGACAATAACTCTATTAGATAAAGGTTTTTGCAATTTTAAAATTTTCTTATTTTTTTCAAAAAAGTAAATTGAGAATATTTGTTTTAGTAATTATATATATAGTTATATAATTATTTTTATAAATAATTAATATTTATATATAATATAGAACCTAAAAAAAAGTTTGTATGCAAAAAAACCATAAATTTGATGAAAAATATAAAGATGTTTACTTTATGTTTTCAAATGTATGTTTTTTTAGATGAAAAAATAATAATAAATAATCCATTCGTCTCAATACAATAGTTATGTTTACCATTTTGTCAGCTCCAAAATAATAATTTTATTTTCATAAATAATCATATCACTATAATTTTATTTTTACTTTTTCATTATTATTACACAATTGCCACTACTTTTTACACTAATACACTCATAAGGATAAAAAAGTCTTTTACCCGTACTTTTTATCGACGGAAGGAGTAGCATATTCGGGCAAGATTTTTTATAAATAAATAGGGTATATTAATAAACATGTTTACTTTCGTGCTTTTAATATTGTATTTTTTTATTATATTTTTCATTAGATTTTAATATTTTATTTTTTATATTAATAAAAATGTGTAAAAAAGGTTGGGCAAGTAAACAAATTTACCCGCACTATTATACCTTTTTTTAAAAAAATTTTGTTTGGTTGTAATTTGAATATTAATTTAAATTTTTATTTAAATAATATATTTATATAATACTGTCTCCGTCATGTGACATATGATCTCATTTCTTTTTTTGGTATGTTTTATCAATTTGAAACATTTAACAAATATAAATCAATTTAATTATATTTCTAACATCTTGTAGGATCCACTTAAAACCCCTTTATTTTCATCTCTCTCCTTAATTAACAAATATTTTTATCTACCTTTAAAACTCATCGTTTTTTATAAACTAATTTATGGTAATGATAAATAAATAAATAAATTTTTTTATTCATTTGTATTATATAAAATTTTATTATCTACAAAATTATATTCATATTGCATATATTTTATTGATATATAATTCTAAAAATATTTAAAATATCAACAACATTACACTTATAAAAAAATATTATCATAATTTATTATTAATAACTGAATAACCTACGCTATCTAAAATATCGTATCCCTAACAAAAATGTTCATCTTTCGGGACGGATGAAGTATATTGTAAAAAAATAATAATACTCTCTCCGTCCCAGATACCATGTTCACGTTGCCGTTTCTGTCCGTCCCACATACCACGTCACTTTCCTTTTTTGAAAAATGATTACACACTTTAATCTCATTTTAAATTTTATTTTTTTTAATTTTAATTAAACTAATTAGTTATCTTAATCTTAATTTATAATTATTTATATTATAAGATAATTATTTTCACTAATACATTCTTAATTATCTACTAATTATATCCCTCCTAAAATACTGTGTCTACAGTGTAGCAGACACGGTATCTGGGACAGAGGGAGTATAATTTATTAAAAACTATAAATATAGATATAATTAATTTGGATTTAAAATAGTAAATGAGAAACCAATCATAATTGACATACCAAAAAATATAAAAAATTATCGTTATTAGGAATAAGAACAATAGACCCTAAAAAATGAAAACATCGACCATCAACACGGATCTACGAGATTGTTATCAATTATAATAATAATAATAATAATAATGAGATGTAGCAATATAGTAATAGTAATAATTACTATAATAATAATAATTATTTTAGAAATTTAAATACAATAATAATGCAAAATATTATTACTATTTATTTATTTATTTTCTAAAAAATTATTATTACTATTCTCTCGTCACATTTAATTTGTCTCATTTATTTTAGATACGAGATTTTAGGTGTTGTGTACTTAGTAAATAATTAAAAAATTTATTAATAAAATTAATTACTTCATTCTGTTAGTATTACCAGACACCAATTAACGTATTTTTATATTTTTTTTATTTATATTACATTTTGATATACTCCATCCGTTCTATATTTATCTATCCATTTGTTTTTGCACGAGGTAAAAATAAATGTAAAAAGATTAAATTAACGTTATTAAGTAATGACATTTGTGTAATATATTTTAAATTGAAAGAGTTTTTATAATTTTAGACCGATACTAGGAAATTGATATTTTGTTATAAGATGGACCAAAATGAAAAAAATGGATGGATTGTTAAAGGACAAAACAAGTAATAATTAATATTCAAATATTAATATATAAAATATAAATGAGATCTTTAGAGTTAGACGAAAGTAGTATAATTTAATAAAAATAAATTTAAATTAAAATTAAAATAATTATATAATTTAATTAAAATTTTAAAATTATAATTATATATAGAAAAATAATAAATTACGGAACGAAAATAGAATAAATTAACAAATTAAATAGAATTGAAAAAAAGACTTATTTAAAGTAGTGGAGAGAGAGAGTGAAGAGTAAAGCAAAAGTCGTCCTGCTTTAAAAAACTGAATGGAAAGGATGGGACATCATCCACCGTCCATTGTCTCCCTCCTCATCTCATCCCATCGCCGCCTCTCCAATCTCCGCCCTTGACCGCCACCGCCGCCGCCGCCGTACTGGTGTTTCGGTTCTCATATATATATATAATATTTTGATTTTTGGTTGAGGAGGAGGAGAGTGGTGATAACAATTGTTTGAGTAGAGATGGGATGCACGGCGTCGAAGCTCGACAATGAGGACACCGTGCGGCGGTGCAAGGAGCGGCGCCGCCTCATGAAAGATGCTGTCTACGCGCGCCACCACCTCGCCGCCGCGCACTCCGACTACTGCCGCTCCCTCCGCGTCACCGGCTCGGCGCTCGTCACGTTCGCCTCCGGCGAGCCGCTCACCGTCTCGCACCACGCCCCCGCCGTCCTCCTCCGGACGCCGTCGTCCGACGCCGGCGCCGACGTCAAGCATCCGCCTCCGCCGCCGCCGCGCCATCGCGGTGCTTCCCATTCTCCTTCCCCGTCCGTCCAGGCTCCTCCTCCTCCTCCTCCGCCGCCGCGCGCTCCTTCCACCGCCGCCTCCTCCCGTAGCCAGTACAAACAACCGCCGCCGCCGCCGCCGATGCGTCGGAAGAAACCGGTGAAACTTCCGCACATCCTCTCCGACTCGAGCTTCTCATCCTCGCCGCCTCCCAACCATAACTTCACCTACGAAGCTCGAGCGAATTCAACCTACTCCAGCACTCCATCTCAGACCTCCTCCGTGTGGAATTGGGACAATTTCTACCCTCCGCCATCTCCGCCTGATTCCGAATACTTTCAACAACTCCAGAACAAGAAGAATTCCACAAATCCACTCGACGACGACAACAATTCGGACGACGATCGGTACACAGACAGAGCTTCAAGCTTCGCATCGTATTCCAACCGTCAGGATCAGGTAGATCGGCATCCGAATCCTCTCAGCAGCAAGCTCTTCGAAGACGACGCATCCAATTACTCTTCATATTCGCGATTCTCCAACAATTCTCAACCAAAAAGCCACACAAGGCGTCCAGGCTCTGCAACGTTGCAGAAGAAGGGGAAGAATCTGAAACCCTGGGAAGGCGAAGAGGAAGAGGAAGAAGAAGAAGAAGAAGAAACAGAGAGAGAGGAAGTTCAGTGCAGCGAATGGGGAGACCATGACCGTTACAGCACTACAAGCAGTTCATCCGATGCCGACGAGATGGAGGATTTGAAATCCAGATCTGATTTCGAGACACGATCCAATTTCGATTCAGTGAAAGACGAGGCTGCTCCGACACCTACCAATCCGAAAATACCCAATTTCAATCCGAATTCAAAGTTCTCCAGCAAATCAGAGAAGCTATCTTCAGAGGATGATGGCAAATCATCAGTCAGTTGGGGAGACATGAACAGCAAAGCAAGGGAGAGTTCTGAGAACAGGATTGTGGTCAGGCACAAAGATTTGGCAGAGATTGTGGCTGCTATCAGGGAGTATTTCGACAAGGCAGCTTCTGCCGGAGAACAGGTCTCGGAAATGCTCGAAACTGGCCGAGCTCAGCTCGACCGGAGCTTCAAGCAATTGAGAAGTAAGTGTAGCCTTTATTCAAGAAACTTCCATTGATTTCGATATTCATATACATACATATATATTCATTCGATTATCGATTGATGTTTGCTGCAATTCGATAGCATCTGAGGATTTCTTTGTAAAATTAATTTCAGTATTTGTGTTGGATTTGCAGAAACTGTGTATCATTCTAGTGGGATGTTGAGTAACTTGAGCTCCAGCTGGACATCGAAGCCTCCATTAACGGTTAAATATCGTTTTGAGCCCAATTCAATCGAGCAATCTGGCGATCAAAAGAGCCTTTGTTCCACTCTAGAACGGCTGCTGGCGTGGGAGAAGAAGCTATACCAAGAAGTGAAGGTAGTAATCGAACCCTTCTTTGGCTTATTTCATCAATATATTTTATAATTCGGGTTCTTGGTCCTTATCACAATGTCTATTATCTTAGCATTGCATAAATACAAAAGCAATTTTCGGCCTTTGATTGATGTGAATATCGTGTCTTTTATTTGAAAATGGCCCGGAATTTGTATTCATGCTGATCAATTTGTGTTTATCATCGAAGAAAAACACGCATAAATCTTTGAATACTACAACTGGTTCATGTAATTCTCAATATCGGCTTACGATTCTGTTCTGTAATTTGACTTTTTATATGACCATTTCTGTTGTCATTGAACGATGATTTTTGCTGATCATAATCTACCAGACAAGAGAAGGAGTGAAAATCGAGCACGAGAAAAAACTGTCGTCGCTCCAAAGTCAAGAATGCCGAGGGGAAGATGAAACCAAGTTAGACAAGACGAAGGCATCGATAAACCGGCTTCAATCTCTATTCATGGTGACATCTCAGGCTGTGTCGACTACCTCATCTGCCATTATCGGTCTACGAGATTCTAACCTCGTCCCTCAGCTCGTTGATCTCTGTCATGGGTAAGTTATATATATCTTTCGCTATTTTTTTCAGTTTTGTCCTTGGTAGAGCATTAATTGTTTCGGATTTCATTGGTTGTTGCCTGATTTCTGTCTCGATTATAACATGTGCTTCTGCATTTGCTGTGTTGTTGTCTCGGTAGGTGGCGCATTAATGCGTTCTTATGCTTGTGTGTTTGGTTTGGTTTCGGAAGTTTTTTCGGGTGTGTTTGTTTGTGGGTTTTAGTTTTCGGGATTGGCATTTTTAATAGTAAAAAGTTGAATTTGAATAGTTAGTTGATGTGATGTCTTGAATGTAAATTTGTAGTATAATATAAAACAAGAAAAATAATTGTTTGATTTGATATTTTTGGAGGAAAAAAAGAATTTAAATAGCAACACATACTTTTTTTTGTGGTCCCTTGGGACAATCTTTAGTCGGTATCTTCTGAACAAGGCAATGTACATTCGATGTCTAAAAATAGCATCTTTGGTCGTGTTTGGTAACTTCTTTTAAACATTGTTGCCGGGCAATTTGAAATTCGACGAACATATCACATTATAACGATGTTATTTTGCCGTCGATCCGATCGCGGATATCTTTGCAGGTTCATGTACATGTGGAGATCGATGAACCAGTTCCACGAAGTCCAGAACGACATCGTGCAGCAAGTCCGGGGCCTTGTCAACACCGCCGGAAAAGGAGAGTCGACGTCGGACCTCCACCGGCAGGCGACCCGGGACCTCGAGTCCGCCGTATCCGCGTGGCACTCGAGCTTCTGCCGCCTGATCAAATTCCAACGCGACTTCGTCCGATCCCTCCACGCCTGGTTCAAGCTCACCCTCCAGCCCGTCGACCCCGCTCCCGCCGACACGTTGTCGGAGGCGTTCGCATTCTGCGACGAGTGGAAGCTTGCGCTCGACCGCGTCCCTGACACCGTCGCCTCCGAGGCCATCAAGAGCTTCATCAACGTTGTCCACTCGATCTCCGCCAAACAGTCGGAGGAGATCAAGATCAAGAAACGGACGGAGACTGCGAACAAGGAGCTCGAGCGAAAAGCGTCGTCCCTCCGTAGCATCGAGAAGAAGTATTACCACTCGTACTCGATGGTCGGGATCGGGCTCCCGGACACAGGCCCGGATTCGGGCCACGTGCTCGACGCGCGGGACCCGCTGTCGGAGAAGAAGGCTGAGCTGGCGACTTGCCAGAGGCGGGTGGAGGACGAGATGGTGAAGCACTCCAAGGCGGTGGAGGTGACGCGGGCGATGACGCTGAATAATATTCAGACGGGACTTCCGGGAGTTTTTCAGGCGATGACGAGCTTTTCGTCGCTGATGTACGAAGCGCTTTCGACGGTATGCACCCGATCTTATGCTATTTAAAGGTTGAAAAACATTCGGGAAACGAGAGCAAAGCTTTTTAGCCAGTGTTATGTAATGTTGTTACTACTATATGTTTGTTAATGTTGTTTACACGTTTTGTTTTGTTTTGGAGAAGTGTTTTTTTCGGGTTTTTGGGGGGGCTATTTGGAGCTCTATACAAAGGCTGGGATTTTATTTTCATTTTTTTGGTCTATTTGTTTATTATTACCTTGGAAATATGTGAATATGTTTTGAGTGTTTTTGCAGGCTTATGAGGCCTTATTGTTGTTGTACATCAAAGTGTTTATGTTGAAGAAGATGTTGAGGTTTTGTTGAACTTTTGCTTATGAATAAATGGTGATTTAATGGATATCCTATCACTTCTTAATAATTTTTCGTATGTATATTTGCTACTGCTACAGATAGGGTGTTGATCAAAGCAATCCTGGGATTGTCAAAAAGCCTCCCAGTGGAAGATACCTCGCCATTATTACTATTATGATTATTATTATTTTTATAATATGGAACTATATATACATATCCGGCCGGGATATATTTTGGCTCTTGCCCTAAACCCTATAGATTTCAGCATCAGTGTTTGTTTTCCAAGTATCTTGCTTCTTAATTTTATTCAATCCATTATTCTTTTCTTGCATTGCATTGAGCCATGAGATTTTGGCGTTTCTTTTCTTGCATCCATTTTCTCATTTTTCGTGAAATTATAAAAATCAAGATAAATACTTCATTCCTTAAACTTTTTTTTTTTTTTTGTTGAAAACTCTTATTTGCGGATAAATAAATTAATGATGCATTTTTTTTAAGTGCTTGAACTTTTAGATGAAGCGAGCATTATGTTCATCCAACATGGTATGATATCTTAAGTTTCAAGTTTAAGTCCTACCATCCTCATTTCACCTATGCATATTTCTACTTCCACCTAATGGGACGTACTAAAAACTCCGGTCATACTAGTGGACAAAGAGAGTGTAACATATAAGAACACAATAATTTGATGACCCAATTCAATTAAATTGATCTCCATCATGAAGCCGCCAAACCAGATATTTTTATTAATATTTTTAGTTTGAATTTAAGAAAGAATTAAAATCGAACGGGACAGACCCGTCACGGAAAATTGGCCAGTCTGAAATTGCCACGACTAGTGATAAAGCCCATATGTTACGTTAAAATCCAAATATATTTAATTTAAATAATAATAATAATAATAATAATAATAATAATAATAATAATAATAATAATCCCCTCCCCACCAAAACTAATTAAGACAGCCTCCTAACTCTCCATGCTCAGCTCATGTATGCACCAAAGAATCATAACTTCAATAATCTATCTCTATACGGCTGTACCTATCTATCTACATCCCATCTCAACACCATTACTTAATTAATTTTTTTAATTAATTAAAAATTAAGTATTAAAAGTAGTCGTCAAAGTCCAGATCGTTACCTCCACCCGACGACTCCACATCTTCATCTCCTTCCCCTGCAGCACCTCCGACGCCAACGAGCGGCGGCGGCGATCTCGGCACCTCCGGCGGGACGGCGCAGCGTATCAGAGCCCAATTAACACCTTCAAAGAAAGGGTGCTGCTTTATTTCAGCCGCTCCTCTTACAGCTCCCAGCCGCCGCTGCGGCTCCTTCACCAGCAGCCGCCCGATCAGGTCATAGCTCGCGCAGCTCGTCACCGGCCATTCTGGGAATCTCAGCTCCTGCCCCACCACATTGTACACCGTCAAACGGTGGTTGTCGCCGCCCCACCCTTCGAACGGCGTTCTTCCGTACAGCAACTCGTGCACGAAAATCCCCAACGTCCACCAGTCCACGCCGCTCCCGTGCCCTCCGCCCCGGATAATCTCCGGCGCCAAGTATTCGTGCGTCCCGACGAACGACGTTGACCGAGCCAATGTAGGCTCGGCAATTACCTGAGGCACTGACAATGTGCCACTCCTCCGGGATTCGAAAATCCGGGAGAAGAAACATCGACTCTGTTTCGAAGAATCAGAGTCGGGCGAGGTGGTTCTTATGATCGATGGCGAAACTTCGCATCTAAACGAGAGGTCGAAGTCGGATAGCATAATGTGGCCATCTTCGCGAATCAGGACATTCTCCGGCTTCAAGTCGCGATACACGACGCCTACCATGTGAAGGTACTCGAGCGCCAGCACGACTTCGGCTGCGTAAAATCTGCATACGAAAGAGATTGAGCTGATCTGATAAAAATTGGAATGTATTGATCATCAAAATAATAGATCTGCGTATAGGCAACATAAATCGATAAACTCAAATCTGGGAAAATATGTCGAAATACCTTATATATCGTACCGAAAATATACTGACAATACCTAAATTTTGGTATACTGTAAATTTCGGTATGGGTAACGGTATGCACTTTCGCTTTTTTCGGTATTTTCCGGAAAATACTAAAATACCAAAAATTTTTGTTATTTTCGGTATACAGCGATATTTTCAGTATTTCGGTATATATCGAAAAAATCGACATACCGAATAATATATTATATTTCGGTATTTTTGATATAATACGGTGTATATCAATACCGTTTAAATTTTGGTATTTTGATATAATACAATATATATATCGATATCGTTTAAATTTCGATATTTTAGTATAATACGGTATAATTGATACCGTTTAAATTTCGGTATAAATCGGTATATACCGATAACGTACGGATAGTTCGGCATACCGAATAATCGGTACAGAATGGTATAAAATATAAATCATACCGAAGTTTCCATATACCGATTTCTCAACTCGGTAACGGTATGGTAAATTACCATACCGAATATTTCGGCACGATATGAGGTATACGGTATAAATTTCAGTATGCCGTCGAAAATGTTAAATATCATACCGAGCAGCGTGTTCCGAGAAGCATTTGTGAGGCTGCTGCTGTCGTAGGCTGTGAAGGTCTCCACCGGGGCAATACTCCGTAGCCAGCCATAAGTATCGGTCGGTCTCAAACTGCGCATACAGTGTCGGCAAGAAGGGATGGTCTAGAAGCTGCAAGATCTCTCTTTCCATCCTAGCGTGAGCCAATTTCTTCGCTGCCTTGTCGGTCACTTTCATTGCGAAGAAACACCCAGTGGAGCTCAGCTCGGAAAGATAAACACTTCCGATATCGCTGCACCCGAGTCTTTTCAGCAGCTTGAAATGGGTAATGGTTAGAACACCGTCACGAGCAAGGACGGAGAGTATAGCCTGGAAGTGAGGATCATTTCCCTTGTGAGGCTTGTTTGCGCCGCATGTAGCCGTGCTCCAATTACTGTCGTCGCTGAAAGTGCTGCTGTCGCTGACTCGGCTAATGCTACTCGCAATAGAATCCCATCGAACACTCCCTTTCGTGCTCTCGTTATTCCTGCCTGCGCTGGGCACAGTGACAATACTATTGACGATGGTACTATGTGAACTTACATTGCACGTTGGATGCAATGATGGGTTGAATGCGCATTCTTTTTCTTCCAAATCTGACCTCGGAATCACTTCTTTGTTCAGTGATGAATAAGAGGCAGCAGATCGAATGTGCGTTCTTCTTTTTCCGGCACATTTTTCATCCACAATGTTCTGGCCGATGGGCAGACAGATAGGTAGCATCGAGTCTATATCGAGAGGCTCAGGAGGATGGCTCACCCCGCTAAACGATGCAGGGCTGATTTCCTCGATGGAATCGCCCCTGACTTTAAATGAAACGAAGTCTGCCATGAGTTGTTCTTCTTCCTTGTGCATCTTTAATGTCTCTTCTGAGGCCTGCAAATTCTCCATCTCTTGTTGCACGAGAGTTTGGAAAGTTTTTGTCGCCTCCTCCGAAAGGGACACGTGTTCATTATCTGGTTGCGACTGGGCTATACTTGCCATATCTGATAGATCAGGCTGTGAAGTTGCAAGATTTGCGCGTTTATGTCCCTTCCAGTAAACCACCCTGCCAATGAATTTATAGTTAGTGATCACCTTAAAATTGAACATGCTTCAATAAAAGTTATTCTACAGATAAGGAAAGGCAACAACGGTTCGACAACAAGACTAGAAAGCAACAATAAAGGGAATGTGACAACAGAAATCGACAACAAGACTAGAAGGCAACAAAAAGGGAATGTGACAGCACTCGACAATAAGACTAGAAGGCAACAACAAATCGACAACAAAACTAACAACCGATGCAGAGATCATGTGTTCCTAGCATTCCAAAGATGCAGCAGCCATTTGTAATCAGCAAAGGAAACAATAACAATTCCATTTCCTCAATGATTCACTAAGGTAAGGAATAATAATCAAGCTATAAGCAAATCAAAATGGTAAAGTTTAGATAAAATCACATAGCATTCTATCAAGATCATTATCAGAAACTTAAGTTATCACAACATTTCTTAATTGAATTTTCAGTAAAAGAAAAATCTACTCTCACAAAACTAGAATTATGACCAAAGCAGCAGCAACTGAAATAACAAAGCTTCAAGGAATATTCTCGTGCTCCATCAATGCTTGAAGATTTCACAAACTGATTATTGAAGCTCAGCACATTCCAACGATTATCTTCTCACCGATTTGGTCCAAAACTTCAGTTATCAAACGCGCATTTCGCGTATGTCAGATTTTGGAAACCATAACATCACAGACAACAGATTAAGCACAAACTGAATCCAAAGCACACACTATTTAAAAAAAAAAAAAAAACTTCCAGCCTAGCGAAGAACAATGAGAACTAAAATCTCCAAACAACAGAAAATCCCAAAATCAACGAGTGAGTGTGTGTATCCACTCATAGAAACAGAAACACGCACATATACACATACATACACAGATTTGTATTCCCATAGACCGAACCGACGTAGCACATAATCGAAGTGTACAGACAACACAGTACGTAGGGTATTTCCATCCAAGGCAAGAGAATAGAATAGAAGAGAAGAGAACTTCACCTGCAACGTGACGATACACGATACCACGATTTCTCCTCCAATTCCTGCAAGGAAAAAAAAAACAGCGGGCACCGGTATGTATATATGAGCAGCAAGCAATCGGAGTCGGAGGGAGGCAGTGAGAGTGCGTGGCTGTCTCTGCAGCAGGGGAATGAAGAACAATCGAAGGAAAACAGTGTGGGCAGAAGAAGACGAAGGGAAGATTGGATTCAGAAAGAACTTGGGGAATCGAGAGCTTTCGGGCGGTTAATTGGTGGGTGTCATTTAGCAGTGAATGAATGAATATGCTGACGGAGAGAGAGAGAGAGAGAGAGTGGGAAATGGCTGCGGACAGAGTGAGAAGAGAGAGAGCCGGGCTTTTATAATACCCTCTGAGAAATGACCAAAGTACCCTTCGATTGTTTTTCAATAGTTTCTTGGCGATTTTTTTTTTGGTAAACGGGTTTATTTAATTTTCGGGTGTGTTCGTTTGATGGATTTAGATTAAATTCCACTATTCATCTAAAATTTTCCCCCCAAAAACATCAAATCAAACACTTATTTTTCATTTTTTATATTATACTAAAAATCAATTTTACATTCAAAACATCATATCATCACCTATTTATATCACATCAAACAACTATTTAAATTCAAAATTTTTACTATTCAAATCCCAACTCAAAATTCAAACCCCCAAACAAACACACATCATTTCAAATAGAATTTTTTATTTATTTTTAATTTGGTTTTAAATAGTATTTTAATTCGATATTTTATAAAATAAAATTATGTATTTTATACGAATTTAATGAATGTGTTGGTTTGCTATTTGTTTTTTTTAAATGATTCTCATAAATATTATTAAAAAATATATTATAAATATATTAATATATATAATATATATTTTATTTACTGATAAAAAATTAATATTCAATACAAAATATTTTTTGTTATATTACCAATGAATTTTTTTATATTTAATATAAAAAATATATTTTTAAAAAAGCATAATGTGAGACCATCTCCAATCAAGGAGATTTTTTTTTTATTTTTACATGATGGAGATTAAAAAACTGCTCCAATCCACCCTGCAATTTTGCAGAATTCACCGCTGCATTTTTTTATTTTTATTTTATTTTGTTTTAAGCTTATATTTTATATATTTTATTTTATTTTATTTTTGTTACTTTTAAATTTATTATTATTTTATTATAATTTTGTAATTAATATTTAGTAAATTATTTATTTATTTAATATTTATTAAAATTTATAATTAATTGATTATGGTAAAATAATTATAAATTATTTATATTGAATTTAAAATATTATAATATTTATAAATAAAAAATAACATTAATTATAAAAAATACCATAACATTAAATAAAACATAAACTTAAGAATACAGTATAAAATTATGTATACAATATTATTCAAAATTACTTAAATAAACTTAGAAATTTAATATTGAATTAAACATGCAATATCTAGTCATCACCTAAATTCGTTTAGATTCTCATCCAAATCATTGAAATATTGGCTAAAACCCGACGAAGCATCTTCCGGTAGATTTTCCATCCTTTTGCGAATAATTTTATCTTGCTCCTGTTTATAATAAGCATAAGCATTAGAATTAGTGACAGTACTCAAGTCGACTGACATAATTTTATCTTCTTTTTTGGGTTGTGTGATTTTTTTTTTTTTTTTTCAAGCATAAAATATTTTTGTCTATCAGAAGCACTGTTCTTCATCATTTCCTGAAGTTTCGCATTGTGCTTATCCAATTTCGCAAAGTCAGAATATTGGGAAGCGCCAATCGTAACGATGGAAATGGCTACGGATCAAGAACACTATCATCAATTTCTTGAGTGATATGTTCAAATTAGAAGTAGAGAAGCTCATTTTGAACTACTTGATGCTTTAATTGAACATATATGTGGGAAGAGTATAGTAACTCTACCAATTAGTTCTATTGTACTAATTATATTTAATCCAATAATATTTTTTTAAAAATCTATATTTATATTTTTAATAATATTAATATTTTTATGCTTTAATTTAAATATACATTAAAATATTAATAAATATAATTTATCGGTATACTATTTAAAATATTAATTAAAAATATTATTATAACTTAAATGTATAAAAATAATAAAATATTAAATTTTCTTTATAATTTTAAAAATTATGTAAAATAAAATATAAAGAGAATGTTTTTTAACCCTCCAAAAATGGAGGGTATGGTTGGAGAAGAGACCTGCAAAAATAAAAATAGAGGATATGGTTGGAGATGGGTTACTGTAGCAGATCTAAACAAACCCAATAATATTGTTTGATTGTTTTTTAAAAAAAAACAAAACAAAACAAAAACAAACGAAGCCAAATAATTATATGTATAAATTTATGCATCCTTATGTCTGAACTTTGTCACGAGGTTTTGATTTTGAGTTGGAATTTAAATAGTAAAAATTTTGAATTTGAATAGTTGTATGATGTGATATAAATAGGTGTTGATGTAATATTTTGAATGTAAAATTGATTTTTAGTATATTATAAAAAATAAAAAATAAGTGTTTGATTTGATATTTTTGGAAAAAAAATGGGATGGATAGTTGGACTGGAAATCCAATCCCCAAACAAACACAATGTACTTCTATCATTTTCATCAATTGAACTTAAAAATATCTCTTTATAATTACAATAAAAATAAATATATTTAAGAAAGAGTTTTTTAAAGAGTTTTCGGCGATCATACAGTTAATTTATATTTGGTAAATTAACTTTTTCAGAAATTAGTTTTTTAGAATAGTTTTTTTTTTTACCAAATCGCTTTCTGAAAAGCTAACTTACCCATTGAAATAGTTTTTTCAGTTAATTTTTTTTATTCCTTATTTGTCCTTAAAAATTTATCGTACATTTTACACAAATAAATATATTTTGATAATTTATTAATTATATTAAAATATTTTATTATATTATAATTTTACTTTTATAAATTTAAAATAATTAAGTTATATATATAAATTATTTAAATTGTAAAATATATAAATTTATTAAAATCAATTTAAAATAGAAAATATAAATATTATTAATTTATTTTTATATTAAAATTACATTATATAAATTTTATATTAAAAATAAATTAAATTTATTAAAAATTATAAATATAATGAACTAATCGATCGTTAATATAATAAATATATACACGAAAAAATTATTATTTTATATTTTACATCATTCTCAATAGAAAAAATTATTTATATTTTTCAATAAAAAATATTATTTTTTTAATCTAACTATAATAAAAATAAATATTATTTTATAACACTTTTATAATTTTAAATAACTAATAACAAAAAATTTCAAACATTTTAAACTAAAACAGTTATTTTACCCAACATTTTAATACAGAACAACTAATTGAATCAGCTAATCAAACCAGCTAATTGAATCAATTAACAACTATCAACTAATTAACATCTAACATCTATCGGTTAATTGCCAAACACACCCTTAAATACTAAAATATCTTTAATTTATTCCGTAGAGAATGACTTGGGGGTGTTTGGGAAACAGCGTTTTGAAGAGCTTTTAGCTTATTGAACAGCTTTTAGCTGTTTGATTAGTCAAAAAGCTAACTTAGGTGTTTGGTAAATTAGTTTTTTTAAAGAGCTTTTTGGACCCAAAAAGCTAATTTCTGAAAAGCTCATCTACCCAGCGTTTTAAAAGAGCTTTTTCATTTTAATTTTGCTTATTCCTTATTTACCCTTAAAATTTAATTATTTATTTTTTAAATATAAATATATTTTTATAGCAGTATTTATTAATTATTTTTAATATATTTAATTTATTAAATTATATATATTTTGTAAATTTAAAATAATTACTATTATTAATTATTAGATATAAATTATTTTATTTGTAAAATATATAATTTAAAACTAAACCAAATAGAAAAAGAAAGTAATTAATTTATTTATATATATTAAAATAATAATTAACATAATAAAAATATATATACGAAAGATTTATTATTTTATATTTTACATAATTTCAATAAAAAATTATTATTTTTTAGTAAAAATAATTTTTTCGGATCTAAATAATAAAAATAAAAATAAATATTTTATAATATTTTTATAATTTTTAATAATTAATAACAAAAATTCTCATAAATTTTCAAACCAAAATGAACAAAATTAAATATTTAAAGAATAACATATCAATGTCTTTAATAGTCATTTTATATATAAACAGTTAATGTCAAACAGTTGTTTTACCAAATACTTTAATACAAACTGCTAATTGAATCAACTAATCAAATCAGTTAATTGAATCAGCTAACAGCTAACAACTAATTAAATCAGCTAACAGCTAAAAGCTTTCAGCTAATTGCCAAACGCAGGCAAACGGACGTTGATGACCGAGAAGTAATAAATTCAAACTCGCGTCAAGAACTTGCTTTCCATTTGCAGGCTACAAAACATAAAGAATGAAATTTTATTTATTTTTTTCAAAATGTCTACTTCTTTTATTTCGTTAAAATTATATAATTGTCTCTTAAATTTATATATATTTTATTTATAATAAAATATTACTTTATTCATTATTTTACTAATTTTATTTTAATAAATACTAATAAATTTGTCATTATTTTAGTTACTCTATTATTTTTATAATTTATTAATAATTTTTTTGTAAAATTTAGACTTTTTTATATATATATATATACCTAACATTAAAGTTTTAATACAATGCTATATAAAAGTAAACAACACTTAATATAAAATTACAACACATGATATAAAATTTCATACTATATCATTTAATTTAGGGATGTCAAATGGGCGGGTTAGCCCCGGATCCGCTCTTAATGGGGCGGGTTCGGGTCTAAATAATATGTTTCGAGGCGGGTTGTGGATTTAAAATTTTAAACCCGGCTGGGTTCGGGGCGGGTTACGAGTTTTACTAAAAACCCGTCTCAACCTGGACCCGGACCCGAACCCGGATATTTTTTAAAATTATTATAACTAATATATATGTATATTTATATAATAAAAATATATGATTTATTTATTTAAATAATTTTAAATATAAAATTCAATTAGTCGCCTGCTCCAAATAATTTTTAAAATTATTATACCTAATATATGTATATTTTAATATTTACATAATAAAAATATATTATTTATTTATTTAAATAATTTTAAACATAAAACTCGATTGTTAAAAAATATTTATTATTATATATTTTTTTAAAAAGCAGGTTTGCCAAGTTGGCCCCGAGAGTCCGGAGCGGGGCGGATCCTGGAGCCTGGTGGAAGCAGGGCGTGGCAGGTCTCGAGGCTTGCAGAATCCGTCACGAACCCGCCCAGTTAAGATCCCTAATTTAATTAAATGCATTTGGCTTCTCAATTAATTGGGGACTTGTTACTATATAAAACTTTACTAATTACATATACAGTAATCAAATGGTGTGTTTGTTTTTATTTTGAAGAATTTGATTTCCCTTATTTTAGTGGAATAGTTGTTGAAAGGAATATTTTGTATAAAATTAAATTATTTTTCTGCTAATTAAAATTAATCCATTTGGGTTCGCCACAAAAATAAAAAAAATAATAATTAAATTTATATTTATAATATCAACTCAACACCTCTTTATATCACGTTATACAATTATTTAAATTCAAAATTTTTATAATTTCAATCAAACAAAAAATTCCAATCTCCAAACAAACATACATTGAAGTATATATATTGTATAATAACATCAAAACTTAATTTTAATGTATATTATATGGTTAAATTAAAAAAATTGGCAAAATTGTTCATAACTTTATTGTGATTTCAAAATTTAACGTAAATTCTCTTTTATTTTAAAAATTACTTGACTTTTCTTTATACTTTAAAAAATATTGTATAAAATCTCTCGTGATTTTAAAATTCAATATAAATTTTTATTTTATTTTAAAAATTGTATAGCGTCCATTATATTTTTTTTTAAAAAAAATTATTGTATGAAACTTATGACCATGCAAAAAAAAATAAAGATATAAAATATCTTTTCATCACAAAATTAAATGGCGGTAGTTTTTATGCTGCCCGTTCTTTGACCTTTATTATGCCCAGGGCAAAATTAGAATATTGGGCTCTTAGATATATTTCTTATATAATAATAATAATAATAATAATATAATATATATATTTTTAATATAAATGTATTAATAAAATATTTTTATATATATTAACATATCAAAATATAAATATAAAATTAATGTGACATATTTAGTACTCCCTCGGTCCACTTACAAAATTTACATTTACTTCTAGCACGGTGTTTAAGAATTAATAGTATTTTAATTATAGTGAGTAGTTAAAAGTAGTGTAATGATATTTTTGCCCTTACTTTTTTTTGTGTAAAAGTAATAATGTGATGTAAAAAAAGAGTATTTGTGAAAAAAAAAGTAGGGTATTTAATTAAATGTTAACTTTGTAACTGGACGTCACAAAATATAAATATGTAAACATTGTAAGTGGACAGATGAAGTATAACATAAAAAAAAATAAAAAATATATATATTTGATTTAATATTTTTTAAAGAATATTTTTATAAACAATCAAAAGTCTTTTAAAGAAAATTTTCAAACAAAAATATTTATTAAGGGTTTGTTTCTTTTGATTGGTTTAGGGAAAAATTTGGTTTGAATTTGATATTAAAATAATATTTGATGAAATATTTGTGAGAGAGAAACGCATAGTCTTAACAGTAAAAATTAGAAAGTTTAGATTAAATAAACAAATTCAAGGTGTGTTTGTTTGGGGGATTAGATTGGATTTAAACTATTCATCCAATTTTTTCCCCCAAAAAATATCAAATCAAACACCTATTTTTTATTTTTTATATTATATTAAAAATCAATTTTACATTCAAAAATATCACATCAACACCTACTTATATCACATCATATAACTATTCAAATTCAAAATTTTTACTATTCAAATCCCAGCTCAAAATTTAAACCCCCAAACTAACACACCCTCAATGTTTATATAATACACAAAATTTTAAAACTACTAGTAAAAAATATAATAAAATATACAAATTTAAACATATAAATATAAAAATAAAAATAATAAGAACACAAAAATATTACTCTATCATATCTTTTTAATTTTACATAATTCACAAAAAAATATAAAATTATACCATTAAATAAACAAACTAAAACATACAAATAAACACTTTAAAAATTAATGTAAAAATCATTTATTTAAAAAATAATAATAAAATAAATTTTTTATTAAATTTTATTTTATACATTCTAAAAAAAAAATAATAATAATATATATATTAATAATATGATCATTACATTTCTTAATTGATCCATTAATTATTAATTATGTATTATAATCCTCTATTTATATATAATCAGCATCGATCGAATTGATAAGGCAGAATATATATATTTTTTTTATTATAAAAAAAAATAAAAAAAATAAATACTCGCCGTTACAAGCGCACACACACACATATATATATATATATTATGGTATGCAGACAGAATCTCTCGTACAGTAGCAACTCACAAGCAGATAAACAACGCTAATTACTCTCTGTCTACTTTGCGTTGCGGCTAGGGTTTTCTTCTCTCTATCCTTCTCTGCACCCTGCTCACAGCTGCTCTCACAGATCTGGTGGTTCTGCCGGAGTTAATAATGGATAATCCGTCAAATTAAGGGTTACGGTGTTGGATAATTCCGAAATTTGGGGTTTTGCTTTGCTTGCTGTGGGTGGAAATGGCGACTCTCAATCCGTTCGATTTGCTCGGTGACGATGACGTGGAGGATCCCTCGCTGTTGATTGCTGCTCATCAGCAGAAGATTGAGTCTAATAAGTCATCCCAGCCGGCGGCGGGGGCTAAGCAGGCGTCGAATCAGAATAAGGCGGCTGCGCAGGCGAAGCTTCCATCTAAACCACTTCCTCCATCTCAGGCCGGTGAGTTGATTTTTAACTGCGTCACTTTTGAAATTTCGAAGTATATGTAGAAAGGGGCTTTTTAGAGAATTATGCGGTGTTTTTGTTATGATTGGCTTTACATGGTTTTACAAGCTCATTTGATGTTTCTGGAAATATTTTTTTGGATGTGAGAAACTTGTTTTTATCCATGAAATTAGTGAACCGTTGGTGCGAGCCTTGGAATAGAAGCTTTAATGTTGCTCTGTCTGTTCTGTACACAGCATACATCATCGGTTGTCTGAAGCAGTTTACTTTCTTCTTTTCTTACTTTGCTGATGCAATGCTCAAACAAGTCATTTTTCTGGTTGGTTTCAGGCTTCTGTTTTGTAAAATTCAAATTGAGTTTTGTAGGCTGGCATTATTGTTGTCATATGTTTGGATTTTGGATGAACTTTTACCTTAAAAATTATGTTTCCAACATTCCTATGTTTGTTTATGTCTCTGTTTGGTACTTACTGAGAGCTGATTTTAAAGTGCCATAAAATGGTGGTTTATGTTCTTACCACGTACTCCAGTGGAGCATATACTATGAAATTCTTCTTCAGATTTCAGTTCTTGAATTAAATGTCTTGATTAGTCTTTTATCTTGATAAGTGAATTGGGATTCGAGTTTTTTTTTTTTTCTTTTAAAATCTATATTTTGGATGTTATCCTGTTGGTTTCAGTCTGTGTGTCGAATAATGTGCTTGTTCTTCAATTAATCTACTTTTTCTTATTTTGCTCTCTACCATTATTGGAAACATGTTGTCGCAGAAAGCTCCTAGCTTGGAGTTCTACTTACTTTGTTGTTTTATGTTAGTCATTCCATGGAGATTTATTCCCATTTACTTGTTTCTAGTGAGTGTTTTGAAATATCTTATGTTACTAATGATTTTATTATTTTCAATACTAATGTCTGCATCAACTGTTTTCTTATTCTCCCAAATAGTAAGAGAGGCAAGATCCGAACCTGCAAGAGGTGGTCGTGGTAGCGGCATTGGTGGCCGCGGATATGGCCGTGGTCGTGGTGGTGGTTCCTTCAGAGACTCGGCCAATAACGAAAATTCATATGGCGACAGGGAAATACCCATTGTTCAAGGTTCAACAGATGAGGCTGATGGAAGAAGACCTTATGAAAGGCGAGGTGGTTATGGAGGACCTCGTGGTTCTTTCCGTGGTGGTCGCCGAGGTGGTTTTAGTAATGGAGAAGGTGGAGAAGGGGAACAAGATAGACCTCGTAGGACATTTGATCGCCGTAGTGGAACTGGACGCGGGTCTGTAGACCTCATTCTCAGTCACTTGTCCATACTGTCGTTTCTATTTCAAATTGTTTAATGTTCTTCTAATTTGATAAATGTGCAGAAATGAGTTCAAAAGGGAAGGATCCGGTCGCGGAAATTGGGGAACTCCAACTGATGAAATTGCTGAGTATTTCCTTGTTGCCTTTCGACTTTTATCTTCATTAATATGATGACTTAATATAAGCTGTTTATCTATTTCCTCATTTGCATCTAAAATCCATCTTTTTTTATCCCTTTCTATTTTAGAGTGGCGGAGGAAGTTGTTAATGAAGGCGAGAAAACTCTCAACACTGACAAGCCGTTGGCAGAAGAAGATGCTGCTGGTGATGGAGACAAGGAAACTGCTAAAAACGAGGCCGAAGAAAAGGAGCCCGAGGATAAGGTGAAGTTTCTTCGTAATGGTTGCAGTTACATTGGAAGTTAATATTCGAAGTGCTACAACTAAAATGACTGCTCAGTAAAATGATTAGAACTCGTTGAATGGCTTTACCAATCATGTTTTGTAGTTTGTAAATTTCTATGAAATATTATCATCGGGAATACTTTGTATATAATGTTGTCATTCAAATGCAGGAGATGACACTCGAAGAGTACGAGAAGCTTTTGGAGGAGAAGAGAAAGGCGCTGTCGGCTCTCAAAACTGAGGAAAGAAAGGTCGATTTAAAGGAGTTCGAATCCATGCAGCCACTTTCAAACAAGAAAACCAATGACGACATATTCATCAAATTGGTGACTCAATTTTTGCTCTGCACATTCTTTTTGGGAAAATTGCAAAAAAATATCTCACACGTATATCATACATGTTCGCAAAAGTCGCTATTTCTATCATTTGACTGCTCGTGATGTTCACACCACGTTCGTTCGCGCGTGGTCAAATGATATAAATATAGGACAAAAGTGATAACGATATATAAATGTGAGATACTTTTTGCAATTTTTTCCATCTTTTTTCAAGCATTATTCAACAAGCTACATATATACTTACAACCATACTATTCCTAACAGGGTTCCGAGAAGGACAAAAAGAAAGAATTAGCCGAGAAAGAAGAGAGAGCCAAGAAGGTACCGTCCCATTTTAGCCACTCATAAAAACTCCTCAAATCAACTGTTCTTTTTATCATTTAACCATCCTTTATGTCTTTTACCGGTTTAGTCTGTGAGCATCAACGAGTTCTTGAAACCTGCTGAGGGCGAGAGGTACTACGGAGGGCGTCGGGGGCGCGGGCGCGGCTCAAGAGGAGGATATAACGGAGGCAGCGAAACGGGATATGCTCCGGCACCTGCCATTGAGGATCGAGGACAGTTCCCGACATTAGGGGGCAAATGAATCGTTGCCTAAACCCCGTCTCGCCATCCTGGTTTGTGTTTTTATCCCTTTTGTGGTTCTTCTGCCATTTATTATTATCGAGTTGAGTCGAGTCGAGTCGTTGAGCTTATCGTAATAATGAATGATGAAGTTGGGAATGTTCTTCTGAGTCAGTTAAGTTAAAAATTGTTGTGGTTAAAAAAAATGTACATCTGTGATTGTGGTCATGGCTAATTTGTGTGTTGTTATTTTGGTTAAGTTATTTAAGGAGTCGGATGTCCGTCCGTACATTTGATGCTCAGTTTTGTTTTTCTGAATGTGAACGGAACACTCTTCGTTTTTAGTTTTGTTTGTTTTGTTTTAAATCTTTGGTAGATTTTGCTCTTTCATGTGATTTACTAAAGTGACCTTAGGGTATATTTCTTTAAATTTCTCGTAGCTTACAAATTAGGTTAGTTGCTATTTTTTATTTTTCTTAATATCAAATTTTATTTTTTTTTACAAAATAATATTTTTATATTATATATTATTGAGATGCAACAAATTTGTACGTGTCATAATATGTCTTGTACGTAACCACACGTGAAACTTTCTTTTTCAGTCATAGTGACTTTTATTTCATGAGTACCTTAGCTATATACTCCTTCCGTCCCAAAAGAATTGTCTTATTTTTTTATTTTCGTCTGTTCCAAAACAATTGTCCTATTTCTTTATTTAGTAATCGTGGTCCTTACTTTATAATAAAATTATTCATACTTTTTCAAACTATTCCTAATTATTATTCTAATTTACTTTTTAAAATTTTTAAAAAATTAAGGATATTTTAGTCTTTTATATTTTTTTTTATACTCACTTTCAATTAAATACTATTATTTTTTAATTTTCGTGTCAATTTTCAACCAGACGCTTCTTTTGGGATGGAGGGAGTATATTTTATACATATCATAATTTTGCTAAATATATTTTGTATATGTTATAGTTTTGCTTTAACTACCATATTTTATACTTTCTTCGTCCAGTTAAAAAAATTATATATTTCTATTTTGGGACGTTCAATTACAAAATAAATATTTCATTAAATACTTTATATTTTTCACAAATATTCTTATTTTACATCACATAGTTGCTTTTACATCAAAATACAAGGGCAAAAATATTATTTTACTACTTTTAATTATCCACTATAATTAAAATACTATTATTTTTTAAACATCGCGCCAAAAGTAAATGTTTACTTTGTGTGTAGACAGGAAGTATTATTCAATATTGTGTCACAAATCTTTCAAAGGCAGCAGATCTGTGAAAAAATTATGACAATATATTTTTCCAGGATGTTTTTAGGTTAAATTGTACAAAATTTATATGCGGTTTTATGAAATTGCGTTAAATCTTAAGTACTTTTAAAATAGCGTCAAATTTCCTAATTGTTTCATAAATTTTTCGTTTAACACTTCGATGGTTCTTATTTAATGGCATTGGACTTAATTGCATTCAAACTGCGAATAAATTTTAGAATTTTAATTTCTAATATTTAAAATTACAAATATATTTATATTTCTTATATTTAGTCTAAAAAAATAAAACAGTAAAAATAAACTCTTAAAACCTGGAATAATAACTATTTTTAGTATGTTTATTATTTTTTTTAGGTAAATATAAAAAAAAATATATACTCCTCTGTCCATTAATAATTTATCTATTTTTTTCATTTTGGTTCGTCATCTAACAAAGTATCTATATTTTTTTTTTTAGTAATTGCACTGTCTATCTAACATTACAAATACCATTCTAATTTACAATATACAAATGTCATTATCTTTATATCATACAATACTAATAGGGTTAATTTAGATTTTTTACCTTTATTTCTACTTTATTTCAATATAATACTAATATTTCTGAAAATTTGTGCATATGGATATATAGATATGAGACGGATGGAGTATATATTTGTAAATTTCAGAGGTTTAAAAATTGAGATTTTAAAATTTATTCACAGTTTGGGCGCATTAGGTCAAATATGGTTAAATAAAGACCGCAGAGAGGTTAGACGTAGAGTTTATGAAACCACGATAGAGTTTGATGCAATTTTAGAAGTATAGAGAATTTTGCGCAATTTTACGAAATCACATGTAGATTTTGTACAATTTAACCTATTTTTTATAATTCGATATAGGTACAGAAAAATACTCCAATAACGGAATATATATATATATATATATAAATAAATGCGTCAAGCCGATAAGAAAGAGATCGAGCCGAACCAACAACCCTAGCTCAAGCCCAAGGGTGAAATCGATTTGGAACGCATTTTCACAATATATAATTACACACACAAAGGAAACATATCCAAAATTTTCTTAAATTCTTTTTTATTTATCTAAAATTTAAATATTTCTCACATGAATTATTGGATAGTATTTTACTTTCAAATACTATAAAAGTTATACGCAATTTTTAAAAAAATATATTCTCTTAATTGAAAAATGTTTCTGTTCGTTTGTTTTAGTAAGAATCATATTTACTTCTTTTTATTATAAAAGATAAAAATAGCAATTATTATTTATTTGAATTAAAATGCTAAAAAAATAAAACATTTTTATATACTATAAAAAAATTAAAAGAATTTTATTTATATATATTTTTAAATTGTCTAAGCTATAAATATAAAATTGGTTAAGTTATTTTCCATGTGACTTGCCTACATGTCACCGGATGATATCGTTTCAAATTGAGATACCTACAAAATACTTCCTCCGTCTCATATACTGTAGATATGGTATTTTAGGAGTGGTGTAATTAGTAAATAATTAAGAATGTATTAATGAAAATAATTATCCTATAATATAATTAATTATAAATTAAGATTAAGATAATTAATTATTTTAATTAAAATTTAAAAAATAAATTAAAAAGTTTAAAATGAGATTAAAGTGTGTAATCATTTTCCAAAAAAAAAAAGTGATATGAAATGTGGGACGGACAGAAACGGCAACGTTGACATAGTATGTGGAACGGATGGAGTATTTTCATCACTTTTTTTCTCGGCCATATCAACATATATATATATTCTTTTCTATTTATATTTAAAAAAATTGCATTCCAAATCATTTTATTAATTTGTATTTCCATATTATTATATATATATATATTACTTTTTCAAAGATTATACTCCCTCCATCTCATATTTATATATCAATTTATTTTTTGCACAGAGTTTTAAAAATATTAATATTATATTAGAATATAGTAGAAGTAAAAGTAAAAAGACTAATTTGCTCTTGTATGATATAAAAGTAATGACATTGTGTAATATATTGTTAATTGGAAGGGTATTTGTAATGTTAGGTAGATAGTACAGTTACTAAAAAAGGAAATTAATACTTTGTTATGAGACAGACGAAAATGAAAAAATGGATAAATTGTTAAGGGACGGAAGAAATATTATTTTAAAAAAAAAAAATTATAAAGAAAATTGTAGATTTTATCATGTAGGTGGGGCTTATTATTATTATCTAATACTTTTTTTTTTTGTCCTTTTCCAAATGAGTCGTTTTGAATTTTGTAGATAGATTAAAAAAATAATAGTATTTTATTGGATTGAGAAAAATGTATTAGAGATTTTGAAATTTTTTGTCATCTGACTTTATTTATAAAATAATTGTACGTGCAATAGTATATTTATAATTTAAATAAAAAGTTAAAAAATATTTTGATATTAGTGTATGATTACTTCTATTAAATAAGAAAAATGATATTTTTTTAATGTGATAAACGAAAATGGTAAATATAATACTTTGAATTGGAACAGAATAAGTATTAAATTTTCAATTTTTGAAATAAGACTCCAACAATATTTTGTTGTTTCTATATCTCGGCTGCAAAAACGCTCGATCTAAACACACTCAATCCTCGTCAAGGTTTCATTCCTCTGGATCGAAAGCTCGGGAACCCGATTGTTTTTACCTCATGGACAAACAAAAATCCGGAAAAAAAGGCCTCCATTGAAAAATATATAATAAATACTCCCTCCGTCCCATATACCATATCTGTTACACTGTAGACACGGTATTTTAGGAGGGGTGTAATTAGTAGATAATTAAGAATATATTAGTGGAAATAATTATCCTATAATATAAATAATTATAAATTAAGATTAAGATAATTAATTAGTTCAATTAAAATTTAAAAAAAAATAATTAAAAAGTTTAAAATAAGATTAAAGTGTGTAATCATTTTTCAAAAAAGGAAAGTGACATGGATGTGGGACAGACAGAAACGGCGGCAACGTGGACATAGTATATGGGACGAAGAGAGTAGTATTTTAAAATAATATTTTATAAAATAAAATAATACTCCCTTTGTCCCAATACAATAGTCTTGTTTACTATTTTTGTCCGTCCCAAAACAATAGTCTCATTTCTATAAATATTCATATCACCATAAAATTATCTCTACTTTTTTTATTATTATTACACAAATGTCACTACTTTTTATACTAATACATTCACAAGGGCAAAAAAGTATTTTACTCATACTTTTACCAACTATCAATATAATATAAATATTCCTTAAATTCCGTGTATGATTTAAGACGGAGGGAGTATATTTTTATTGATAATCGTACTACCTTAATAGTACTGATTTTAGGTTGAGATCAAAATCAAATAAACCCAAATTCAGAACATCTTCATCAATGATTCTTAATAACTTTATTTTTTTGAAGATTTTTTTTTAAAAAAAATAAATAAATAAATGAAATTTAAATAAAATAAAATGGTTAAACCTATTTGAAATGATGATCCAATATTACATTATCCTCTAACTACCTCATCAATTATGTAATGATTAATAAAAACTCATATAATTCTAACCCTAACCTACTCCTAGCACGAGTTTTATTTTCTTGTTCTTCTACACACAATTAATAATTATATTTAATTAATTAATTAATTAATTAATTGTTTAATTATATATTAATCAGAATATTAGGTAGCTATGTTTGTTTGTTTGGAGGTCTGGATTTTGAGTTGGGATTTGAATAGTAAAAATTTTGAATTTGAATAGTTGTATATATAAATAGATGTTGATGTGATATTTTGAATGTAAAATTGGTTTTTAGTATAATATAAAAAATGAAAAATAGGTGCTTGATTTGATATTTTTGGGAAAAAAAATAGTGTAAATCAAATCCAATCCCCCAATCAAAGACACCCAAGTGCTTGTTAAGTTCAAATTTTTTTGTTCTTCTACATAAATGTTCTTCTATATTGTTGGCCCCCCTAATTATTTTTAATTTTTTATTATTATATATTAATATTTTGTATTATAAGTAAAATTATTTTTGATGATTGTGCAAAATGAACAAAACGACTATATCGATGATTGTGTAAATTGAATCTTTATAGCTCTATTAAAAGGTCATGAAATTATATCCTTTTTTATTTTATTTTATTTTATTATTATTATTTTTTTTTTCATTTGTCAAACAAAAAAGGAATATAACTTTTTTTTTTTTTTCTAACAACTACGAATTATGTATATGATTATTTTTAAAATTTATTTAAATGCCCAAATTAAATAATAATTGGTGTCACAAAGTGGACTAAGTATACATGTATTAATATTATATATAAAGAACATTTGGTCCAAGAACTATACTCAGATTGTGTTTGACACGAGATTTAAAAAATATTAATATTATATTAATTGTGGGTAAAAAGTACGGATAAAAGACTTTTTTGCTCTTGTAAGTGTATTAGTGTAAAAAGTAGTGACAATTCTGTAATAATAGTTTTACAATGATATGGTTATTTATGGAAATGAGACTATTGTTTTGGGACGGACAAAAATTATAAACAAGACTATTGTATTAGGACGGATGCAGTATATAATATTATTTGGTTATGGAATAATTTGTAGGTCATTACTGATTTTCAACATAAAAATAATGATTGAGTTGTTGAATGTGTTATTGTATAATGATATGTTGAATGAGTGCTTTAGACATGTGTAGTTCCAAGTTTGATTTTATTGATTAGTAATAAAATGTCGTTTAATTGTAAATTGAGTTATAACGTGTAGTAATAATATATATATATATATATGATTAAAAAATAAATTTAAAATAAATTTTGAATGTTTTAATAATTCTATTTTAATAAAATATATTCCCTCCGTCCCATAAGTAAATATCAATTTGCTTTTAGCACGTAGTTTTAGAAATATTAGTATTATATTGAGATATAGTATGAATAAAGTAGAAATGACTAAAATAACCTTATTAGTATGTGTGATATAAAGATAATGAAATTTGTATAATATATTGTAAGTTGTAAGGGTATTTGTAACGTTAGGTAGATAGTACGGTTACTAAAAAAAGGAAATGAATACTTTGTAATGGGACGAACTAAAATGGAAAAATTGATACTTTGTTATGGGACGGAGGGAGTACTACATTCGTCCGGCTCTAAGGTTTCATCTACTTTTTGTGTGTTGATCTTTGAATATTAATTATTATATCAAAACGTAGTACAAATTAAGAAAAATTTGCACAAATATTTCCATTAGTGTCCTATAATACTAATAGATTGACATTTGTACAAAAAATTATACAAATATAAAAGTATTTTTAATATTTTGTACAATGACGTAAAAGGTAAATATAACCTTTAGATACGGCGGACAGAACGAGTATAATCTATACAAAAATAATAAAATTTAAATGTAATATTATATTATAATTTTTTAATAGTTTAACAAATTCATATAATATTTCTATTGTTTAATTAATTTATAACATGTTTATACTATTAATGTTGAACATTGAGTGTTTGGATTTAATTAAACCAAATTCTTTACTTATTCAATCTGTGTGGTTTTAATAAAAATAAATTATTATTATTTTTTTTATAAAATTATGTCAAAATATTATATAAACTAAAATTTAAATTCAAATACAAAGCAAACAAATGTATATTTTTTATTATAGTAAAAAAAAAAAAAAATTATTCTAATATAAAAAATATTTTAAATTTTTACATAGATTACAAATGTATTATTACAAAAACTATTGTTTTATACATAATATACAAAATACTATTATATTTTCATATGATATTTAATGAGATAAAATAATACTATCTTCGTTCGGCTCTAAGGGTCTCATTTACTTTTTTTGTGTGTTGATATTTGAATATTAATTATTATATGAAAACGTAATACAAATAAAAAGAAAATGACAAAAATATTTCTGTTAGTGTCTTCTAGTACTATTACGATGAAATGAGTATAAAAAAAAAATATACAAATACAAAGATATTTTTAATATTGAGTAAAATGACGCAAAATGTAAATGAGACCCTTAGAGCATGGACGAGTATATTTTTATTGAAAATTGAGATGAATGAGTATTGATTTCGATTTTTTTTAATAAAAATAAAATAAAATAAAATAAAATAATAATAATAATAATAATAATAATAATAATAATAAAACCGACGCAAACACGCACAAGAAAATGTTTATTCGGAAGGTTTGCTGTCATTGACCGATTCTCTCATTGGTTCATCCTAAGTTTTACACTTAACTTATTTTAGCCAAACACGTTGGTTTGTCTTAATCTTGCATTATTTATTTATTTAAAATATTAGATATATATTTAGTTACACCGTCGACATTTATATTTATTTCAATTCAAAATGTATTGGGCGTATTTGATTAATAATTTTTCTTTTAGTTCTTAATTAAAATATTAATATTTTATTAAAAAATATTCTTTTATAGGAATATTAAAAAATTAAAAAAATATATATTATTTATTCTTACAAAATATTACATTTAAATTACTATTTAAAATAAAAATTAAAATTAAACTTTAGAAAAAAAATGATTTTTGATAACTATGTGTAGCAGAGGGGTTTGAACCCATTGTCTCATAGTCATACTTTCAATCCTCACACCAAACCATCTTGGAACAATTTTAATTCAAAATAAAATATTAGCTTAATTTAAAATTTTAATATTACCGATAAATTCAATCCATTATATTGATTTCTCAACATTTTTGTTCATGGGTTTTACTTGCAAATTACCTATCTTAAATATAATTATTTATATATACATAATTTGATGTGATATAAATAAGTATTGATATAATGTTTTAAACGTGGAAAGTGAACTTGTGACTATGAAGTTATGGATTCAAATTCCAACGTTAGTTTACTCAGTGTGCATTTTTGTATAGGGGTAAAGTTTGACTTTTTAATATATTATAAAAAAAAATAAAAAATATATGTTTGATTTGATATTTTGTAGAGAAATTTTTTTTTATTAATAATTAATTTTCCCCAAAATCTTTCAATCAAAGGCACCAATATATTTTTTTAATTTACAATATATTTTTAAAATATATTTAAAATTAAATATAATTAAATAATTAAATGAATGTTCTACTTTATTTATTTATTTTTGTCCGGAATCCTTCAAAACTTAGAAATAACCCTACGTCTATATAACAACCCTAACCCCTCTCATTTCCCACACCCTTTTCCATCTCCAATGGCTCCAACCTCCATCGTCTTCTTCCTTCTCCTCCTCTCTCCGGCCGCCTACGCCGCCACACGATACGACGTCGGCGGAACCGGCGGCTGGAACACCGGCGTCAACTACGACGATTGGGCCGGAAACCAAAAATTCGTCGTCGGGGACAGCCTCGGTAAGTTCGACCAATTCCCTAAACCCAAAAACGCTTTATGCGAACGCGTTTTTCGCGCCCGTATTTTCTGACAAACTAATATTAATTTATTTCACAGTGTTCAATTACGACGCGACCCACTCCGTCGAAGAGGTCACGGAAAACGACTACAAAAATTGCAACAAGGGATCGCCGATATCGACACAATCCAATAGCCCGACGACCATCGCCCTTACGGCCGTCGGCACCCGTTATTTCATTTGCGCGCGATCGAACCATTGCGAACAAGGCATGAAACTCGAGGTCGATGTCGAGGCGGCGGCGGCCGGCGGGGGAGGCCCCCCGTCGTCTACTCCAGCGACGCCAGGCGGTGCTCCGCCGTCGACTAATACTCCGGCGGCGGCGGTGACTCCGCCGCCGGCCGGTTATAATGGAGCTGCCAGCTCTAGTAGGGGTGGGGTGGTGGTTGGATTGGCAATTGGTTTGGTTGTTGTTTTGGGATTGAGGGGGTAGGGAAGAGGCAATGCTGTTTTATATTTTAATTTCTTGTTAATTATGTTTTTTTTTTTCTTTTTCTTTTTAATTAGTTGGGGTAAATTGCGTGAATAATATTTGTATTTTATTATAAATTTATGTGTTTTATAATTCATTTTTGCATTAATAAAATATTACGGATTTGTTTATTTAGTATTTTGAGTTAGAATTTTTTTTTTTATGTGAGATATTGAAAATTGGGTCGATAATATAAAAAATGATATTTTATATTGAATATTAACTTCTGTGATAGGGTAAAATATATATTGAAAATCCGGTGGGAGAAAAAAAATTTGGACAAACAAACCCAATCAGTCTCATATTTTACTTTATCTTACTTTTTTTTTTCAATTTTTGGGAATAATTATATATATTAATGGCATTTTAAATTTATTATTCTATAATTTTTTTTATCTTAATTAAATTACTGAGTTATTTTAATCCTAATTTATATTTATTTATATTAACATATTTTAAAATTATTTATGTTACTCCTAAAATTTAGTATCTGCAATATATAAAACATCTTATGTAGGACTGAAAGAATTAAAAACACACATACAAAAAATAAAATAAAATAATGTCTAACTGGACTTATATCGAAGTTTGAATACTTTGGATCGATTTTTATTATCAATTACTTTCGATCAGCACACACAAAATAGATAAATAATACTAATCTATGTTAACATAAGTGAATACACAATTTATAAAATGTATTGTATGACAATTGTTATTTTCTATAATTTTATACATTATTATTTGTATTATATTAATATATATTTTTTATTTTTTTATTTATACTTTATTCACAATATAATTATATAATTGAATAGAAAATAAAATAAAAATAAAAATAAAAATTGAAGTGTCCAATATTCACCAAATGTATTGACTAAGATCGTGCTCACCATTTTTTATAAAATATAAATTAGGTAGTGACTAGTTCTTTGTTTCACCCACTCCTCCATTACCAAATCAATTTAAAAATCCATATATATATTTAAGGTCAATTACACTCAATAATTCTCTTGTTATAATTATTATTATTTTATTATTATTATTATTATTTTTTATAACGTGGGAATCCGCAATCGCTACTTGAGAGTGCGCACCGGGTAAATCTCCGGCCGAATATAATTAATATTATTGTTTTTAAATCAAGAGCTTCAATTAAGTTCATGGTCATTGACATATTTTTTAACGGGGTAAGTTCCGTAAATTAAATATTTTCTGTTTTTTTGAGTAAACATTTAAATAAATTGATATTTTTTTATTTTCTTTTTGTATAATTTACATTTATATGAGTTAAAATAATGTATGATATCTTTCAATGTATATACATGTATGTGATTGAAATTTAGTAAATATCTTTTAAACTCGAAAATAAATTGTATAATAATATTTTATAAAATTACGGTAAATTACATATAAATACCCTCTTCGTCCCCCATCTAATGTATATATTTGTTTTTTACATAAATTGAAAAATAATAATATTTTGATAGTTAATGAAAGTATATAAAAAAATTAATATTTTTATTCTTTTTATTTTATATATAAAATTAATTATATCTACAATAATTTATATTTTTTTATATAAAAATTAAAAGTATTTTATTATTAATATACAATTATTTTATTGTATTAGAAAATGAATCATTTGAATATGACAAAAAATAATAAAAATTTATATTAGACGAGGAGAACGGTGAAAGTATGTACTGTATTCTTTTTATAAATAGCATCAAGTTAATTAATTTAATTATATATATATTTTTAAAAGTTTAAAATAGTGCGATATCAAATTTTGTATAAAAAATAAATATTAAATATAATATTTATTGAGAGAAAAATAAGATAATAAAAAATAAAATTAAATTACAAATACAAAATACCAAAAGATGCACTTGCAAACTTGAATATTACATGCATAATAATACTAATTTAAAAATCGATAAAAACTTATAATATGTATTTAATAATAAATATTCTCTATGTCATAAAAAATAAAAAATAAAAAATATTTATAATTCAATTGTGATTTGAAAATTTTGCACTATACACCCTTATGATTTAAAAATTATATAAGACCTTTTAATATTTTAAACAAAAAATAATACATAAAACTTTCTCATATTTTCTAAAATATTACACATAATTTCTTAAAAATATTTTTGTGCAATATTTTGAAAACAAAAACAAATCTCGTACAATTTTTAAATTATAAGAAAAAATAGTGCATACTTTGCAAACCATAGGTGAGTTGTAATAATTTTTGCCAAAACATTATTTTTATTTTCTTTTTTTTGTCTATTATTAAAAGAAAAAAAAAACTATTTTATTTTTAATATATATATAAAAAAATATTTTTTTATTTTTTATTATTTTTTTAGTATAAAAGATAAAAGTATATATCATATTAAAACTTATCTTAAAAATAATTGGATCTATATTTAGTAAGGGAAGTAGGGAGAGTAATACTATTTCTTTTTTAATATAATAATGTGATTACTTATTTTGTAATATTGTTGGATGATAAAAATTTATATATATATATATATAATTTGTGATTTTTTTTTAGAAAAAATTATACATTTTAATTTTATTTTAAATTTTAATTAAATTTATCTTAATTTTAATTTATAATAATTTTTTATACGATAATTATTTTTACTAATATATTTTTAATTATTTATTAATTATATTTCTCGTAAATTTCTGTGTCTATAGTAAAATGGAACTTTCTGAAGTTTTGAAAATTATTAATCAATAAAATATTTTCTTAAAAAAATATGGTATCAAATATTTATTTTAATTTTATCAAATATTTTTTTACTATTATTTTTTTTAAAAAAATCTAAAAATATATTTCAAAAACTCCCGCTTAAATGGAGTCCAAATTTGGATTTGGACTGGGTCAAAAATAAAAGTTACAATTTGAATTAACTTGTGCCCACTAGTATAGCAGGCTTGATCCAATTCTATTCAAATGAATGTTTTCTATTTTGAATTTTAATTTTTAATTTTTAATTTGATATTTTGTAAAGGGAAAAAATTATTTTTGGTCACAATATAATTAAAATTCTATCACTTTTGGTCATAATATAAAAATTTTATCAATTTTGGTCCAAATATAACTAAAACTCATCATTTTTTGTTTCAATATAACTAAAATTTATCATTTTTTGTCCAAATATAATCAAACCTTATCTTTTTTTGTCCCACCGTCAACAAACCGACAGTGGACTTGCAAGATTGTGCAATTTCTTCAAATATAAATATAAGGTTTGATTTCTTTTTACGTCAGCATTTTCCGTAGGTTTGTTAATGGTGAGATAAAAAAAATAAGGTTTGATTATATTGGGACAAAAAACGATGAGTTTTTGTTACATTGGGACTAAAATTGATAAAAATTTTATATTAAGACAAAAAAATGATGAATTTTGGTTATATTGAAACCAAAATTGATAAAATTTTTATATTGTAACCAAAATTGTTGAATTTTGATTATATTGAGACTAAAAATAATTTTTTCCCCGTTGTAATATATATATATATATATAAATAATCGCGCTGATTTAATTATTAAATAATAATAAAAATATCTCAAATAGTACAAATCCATTTGGTATAAAAGATTAACTAATTTTATCTGGTGAACATGCTCAAATTAAAAGTTTGTTTATTTGTATAAAATATTATGTCAGTGTTTTTATAAAAATATTTAAAATAAAATAAACAAACATATATTTCAATAATATTATTATAGTTTTAAATAATTGACAATAAAAATTCTAAAAATATATAAATCCGAAAAGAAGACAACCTACGACTGTGTTTATTTGATTATTTCCACCTATGAAAAAATAAACACACTTGTTTGCATAACTTGTACTATACTCAGTCCCAGATACCATGTCCACGTTGTCGTTTCTGTTCGTCTCACATACCATGTCACTTTTATTTTTTGAAAAATGATTACACACTTTAATCTCATTTTAAATTTTTAAATTTTTTTTAAAATTTTAATTAACCTAATTAGTTATCTAATTTATAATTATTTATATTATAGGATAATTATTTTCACAAATATATTCTTAATTATCTACTAATTATACAATTCCTAAAATACCGTATTTACAGTGTAGTATGCACGGTATCTGGGACGGAGGGAGTATTATTTTAGAATAAAACATTATTCTTAGTAAACTATTCTTTAAAAAATAGTTATTATATTATAAAATAGTGGAGAGTTACTGAATTTTACCAAAATTCTACTATTCATCCAAAATTTTTCCCCCAAAAACATCAAATCAAACACTTATTTTTCTTTTTTTATATTATACTAAAAATCAATTTTACATTCAAAATATTACATCAACACCTATTTATATCACATCATACAACTATTCAAATTCAAAATTTTTACTATTCAAATCCCAACTCAAAATCCAAACCCCCAAACAAACACACCCTTAGTTTAAAAAAAAAATTGAAAAAAAAAAAAGTCAAATAAACATAGCCTGTGTTTTAATTTAATTGTAAATAGTGTTTATTTGGAATTTTATTTTTATTCTTACTATTCAATTTTCACGTTCTTCACTAAAAAATTAAAACATAATAATAACAATAAAAAAATATCATATCAAATTTTATTGTACTAATATTAAATAATTAATCATATTTTATGTTATCACTTTACTCAAATAAAAAAATTAATACTCTCTTCTTCCCTTAACAATTTATCTATTTTTCCATTTTGATCCGTCTTATAACAAAGTATCTATTTCTTTTTTTTTTTTAGTAATTGTACTATCTACCTAACATTGCAAATATCATTTCCAATTTACAATATATTTCACAAATGACATTACATTTATATCACACAATATTAATAGGGTTAATTTAGTCATTTTACCTTTATTTCTACTTTATCTCAATATAATACTAATATTTTTAAAACTCCGTAAAAAAATAAATTGTTATATAGATATGAAACAGACGGAGTATATAAATTTTTTTTCTTTTATCATATTACTTAATTTTAAAGCTCACGTAACGCATTGGGCCACAAGCCCAAATTCAAGTAAAAAGTACTTCTTCAAATGTCTGTTGTTTTGGGTTTATATGTAATATTTAAATGAAAATAA